GCAATTCCTGACATCAGAGGCATAAAACATCGAGTAAAAGCTGTCACTTGCCTTCTCTCGAGCGCTCAGCTGATGACGTCCAAATATTATGGTCACGTGACTTGCAATTCAAATGAGGCTCTGGATTTTTTCTTCGTGATTATACATATTTTTTTTCTCTCGTTTTTTTTTTCTTACTTTTTTGTAAAGGATGCAGGGGAGTATAATGCGTTATTATGTGTCTTGGGTTGTATGATAGGGTGTTATAATTTGTTATGTCATGAATTATACTTTAATATATCGTAATTTGTTTCGGTATGCCATATGTTATGTAACATCTTTACAAGATAACATTACACCTATTCTTACATAGTGATTTACAATAAACACACATATTTCTCTTACATTTTATATCAATTTTTGTTATCGGTGGTAAAACAGTTGAAGAGAAAATGGTAAACTTACAGAAGGAAAAATCAAGTATATTTTCATTATCTCGTGATGAGTTTATTCACGGATGCGAGAGACGAAAAAGGAATATTATAAGAAAATCAATTAATAAAAAGTAAAATGTCATAGATATAGATCGAAATAGCGAGAGAGAGAAAACAAATACGTTTTACTATGTTTAACCAAATCGAACATAAGTAAAGTAATGTCATAATAAAGCGAATTAACAAACGACTAAAAAACAAAAAACAAAACAAAACTATATGACATAATAAAAAAAAAACAATTCAGACCCTCATTTGATTGGCGCCAAAACCATCCAAAAGGCAAGACGACGAACGAAAAGAGAGACAGAGAAAAATCCGATAAAAATAAGAAAAACAGAAGTCGAACGATTATTTCCCGACTCGAAAAAGAGACAAGAACCTTTGCTCGTGTATTTCCAAGAGTTTTTCTGAGTGTTTGATGTGAAATATGGCTTCAGTGGAGGGCAAAAGGTTAGCTCCTCTCGTGCTTAGGTAATTCCTCATTAACTTCTTACTAATATATTAATTTAATTAAATTTACGATTAGGTTGGTTCTTTTATGACAAGTTTTAAGAAAGAGTGTGAAATAGTGCATAGCAAAGGTACCTAATATACTAACAGGAATAAGTATTAACCATGTAATTATCTCGTAAATGTAATAAATAAATATACTAAATCAACTAATTATATATCTTTATAACCATGTTTGTATACTATTTGGTAATTCATATTGGAGTTATGGAGCTTTAGATATCACAAGGTCATGGGTAGGCCTACATAAGGAGTATATTTTTTTTCACAATATTAGACCTTTTATCGTAATGAATTTTAAGATTATGGCAGAGTTAAGTTTCATCTTGCAGCCAATTACAAGGCAAACGGTGTATGGAAACGACAGTAAAGAAATAAGAAATTAAAAAAGTAATGTAATTTCGGTCGCAAATCAAAAATAATGTTATTTGATTGAGGGGAAAATAAATTATGAAATACCTTGCTTGGGTTATTATGGTTATGAAATGTGGTGCATCTTTGTGTGGTGTTGGTCTCTTGATATTCTCCTCTTGAAAGATATACGATAACAGGAAGGAAAAACTAACCAGTTTTGCCTTTATTGAACTCGCAAACCTGTGTTGTCTTATAGGTTGTATAAGTACATTGGTGGTTTCTTCACTAATAAATGCAGCAAAATATTTAGAAAACAACATTGACTTTCAAATGGAAACTATTTTCTCATAATTATACTTACTGTTCTGTCAGATTCCACTCAAAACTTTCTGTGATGTTGACAGAAGGCCTATGTTCCTAATTAATGTAAGCCCCTAGTCCACAGTCTCGAGCAGTCACCTTAGTCTCCATGCATGGGGTCTAGGCCGACAGACCTCCATCATGTATACTGTGGCACAATAGAGCTTGTACTTATTCCCTATTTGGTGATAAACTGCTAGAACGGTTTACAGTTCTTCTCGTACCAAAATACATATGATCAAAATTTTTGGACTTCACTTTAGTATAGTGAGGGGCAGAGGCCTCGCAGATTGTATGAAGGCAGCTTGAATGTGTAGAAGTCTTCAGAATATTCACCGAGTATCAGTGTTTAACATCAACCATAAGATTTATACAGTTGCTTTAGTTTCCTTTCTTTAACTATGAAAATTTGATGCTACTGCTTATTGAACAGATCTGAAATGCTAGGTGTGCAAATATGGAAAATAAGGCATGATTTTTACAATATATTTAAATTTCAAGAGCAATCTATTGATGTGATTATATTCTTGTGTTCCTTTATTTATTTCATCTTGCCTTACTAGTAATTATGATAATCACAGCCTTTTGTAAGCCTGTGTTAAAAGCTGTGTTAAACTTCAGTTCAGTTAGCATTTAGTTATGTGGGCCCAGTTTTAACCTCAAATAGATATTGATATTTTTTATTCCTTTTTTCCAGGATAAGGACACCAGTCTCCTATCAAATGGATCTTGATGAAGGTATTGGTAGGTTGATGTTGCAGTGTGATATTTAGCCTAACATGAATTATGTATTATTCATTTATATGTACATATATCTTACAATTAGTAGGTTTCATATTATATGTGATTCTTTCCAATTAAAAAATTCCATAAAGAAATTTTGGTAACATCAAATTCTGCCATTCCTCTGCAGATGATGATTTTGCAGACTTCACACCTCCATCGAAGAAGAGCAAAAGTGATAAAGAAGGGGATGCTGATTATCAGAAGGAAAAGAAGAGAGACTCCAGTAAGAAGGATAAGAAAGAGAGCAGAGAGGAGAGAGAGAGAAGACACAAGGAGAAGAAGGACAAGAAAAAGGACAAGCACAGGGACAGGAGCCGAGAAAGAGAGAAAAACAGAGACAAGCACGAAAGTAGCAAGGAGCGCCGTGAATCCCGCGAAAGAAGCAAGGACAGACATAGTAGCAAAGAAAAAGACAAAAGCAAGGACAAACACAGAGACAGAGAGAGGAGAAAAGACTCTGAAGAGAGGAGTGGCAGAGAGAGGCGAAGTTCCAAGGAAGATGGAGAGGGAAAGAAAAATGAAGAGAAAGATTGTGCGGAGAATACAAATAAAGAAAGCAGCTTTAAGAAAGATCGGTCACCTAGTGCTTCAAACCAGGACAGGGTTCCTATGACATCGACTCAGAACTCTCCACGAAGAACGAACACTAAACCTAGAATGACTTTGGAAGAAAAAATATTCCAGGTATGTGCATTTCAGAAAAAAAGGGAATCGGTGACAATACTTGGGGATGGAGAGAGGGACATCTAACTCCTAATGTAGGGTTTGAGCTCTTAATAGTCCAATTCCTGAAACTGTAATTGTAATAAGTTTAAATTATACTGTTTATATTATCATTCTTCTGTCTATAAATTTATATGTCTATCCATCTATCTATATGAAACTTTCCCTTTTACATATTTTTTCCCACATATAACCTTTAAGAATTTCTTGCTCCTTTATGCTGTCTTTGTAAAATAATCCATATGTGCCTGTAATTATAGTTTTACAGAGGTTCTTGTGAGTCGATAGAGATGCATAGATAGATGGAAATGACCCTCCCTATAATTGTAGCATGAATATATACCTATAGTTATCTTGTAAAATAGGAATCCATCCTAGCTAGTGTTCTTATGGTTTATTTCCTTATTTTCAGGACTTAGAGTAATAACAGCAACTAGCAACCTGGAGTCCTTTGTCATTTATTGCATTCATTTATAAAACTTAATTTCATGCCTTCATAGATATGTCTTGATAGATACAAACAAATCACGAAAGGCTAGGTGCTTAATCAAATGTATGGATGATAGTTATATCTTACAACTTTGTAATTTAGAAATTCTTCATTGCAGAGGGAATTGGAAGCTGCACTTGCAATCTCAAAAATAGAAACTGTCGGAAGTCCTCCATCAGAAGATAAACCACAGCCAGAGGATAAACAAGAAGAGGACAAACAAACCAAGAAGAATGATGACAAAACTAAAGCTACATCCTCTGAGGACAGTTCCGTCTCAACCAAGACAGAGGCAGCCAAAGAGAACCGCATCCCTCACAAAGAAGAAGAAAACATTAATATCGATATCAAGAATGAAGATGTGAGCAGTGTTGAGGAAAAGGAAACGTTGCTAAGCAGTAATGACAGATTAAAACAGGAAAAAGAAGCCAAGCAAGAAACTGAATCTGCACCACCAAAGGATTCAAGTTCCTGCAAAGAGGAGGAGCCAAAACTTACAAACTCCAACCAAGAAGAGTCAGTACCTACAAAGTCCAAAAACAAACTCCAACCAAGAAGAGTCAGTACCTACAAAGTCCAAAAAAGAGGCAGAGTCAGTATCTACGAAGTCCACCCAAGAAGAGTCAGTATCTACAAAGTCCATCCAAGAAGAGTCAGTACCTACAGTGTCCAAGAAAGAGCGCGAGCCAAAGTCTGCAAGTCCAGCAAAGCAGCGGAGTCAAAACCTGCGAAGTCCTACAAAGAAGAGGAGCCAATGCCTGGAACATCCTGGGGTCTTACCAGCAAGAGACAGAGAAAGACTGTTGTTTTCAAGGAAGGTAATTCACTTCAGTGTTTTTGTTACCTTATATATGTATATGTATATATATGTGTGTGTGTGTGTGGTGTGTGTGTGTGTGTGTGTGTGTGTATTGTGTGTGTGTGTGTGTGTCATTACTTAGCATTTAAATTGGGATATTCTTAGTATCTGTGCTGTTATATATCCATGTATATATGTAATATGCAGTATTGTGTTATTTTCTGTCATGATTTCCTTGTTTTTTCACCATGAAATTTTAGTTTAATAATGTCATATTGGGATGATTGCAAAATATATCACTATTGAATTACACACATCAGAGAATTGATTAAGAAATAAGTATTGTGTAACTTTACTTTCAATCCTTTCAGTGTAAGTAGACTGCAGTCAATTTACATTTTTTATTTATTTATTTACATTTTTTTCTTTTCCTTTCCAGATAGCGATTCAGACAGCTTTGATGGCTTTGATGATGCTGAACCCTCAGATTTCTCAGAAGAAAGTGACTTTGCCCCAAGCCCAAAGAAGAAGGGCAAGAAGGGGAAAGAGAAGAAAGAAAAAGCACCCAAGAAAAAGGCGACTAAACCATCGGCCAACTCAAAAGCCAAAGACAGAAATCCCCCTCCGGAACCATCCCTCCCCAAAACTACGCCGGCTGCTAGAGGTTCACCCGTCAAAACAAAAACTGCAGACAGAATTCCCCCCTTGGAATCCACTCCTCCAAAAATGCCATCAGCGACAACAGTTCCCTCCGCCAAGAGAACGCCAGTTTCTGAAACGAAGGAAAACACAGCACCTCGAATACAACCTCCTGCTGTGTCAAGAGCTAAACCTAGTATACCTTCTAATAGAACAGTAAATAATGTTAGTAAACCAAAAATTTCTCAAACGATATCTTCTAGAGAGACAGCTAGTTCTTCACCTAGCTCAGGAGGTATTACGAAATCTGCAGGACTTGTTAGATCGCAGTTCAAAAGTCCAGTACTTAATGGCCCAGGGATTTCGTCCGGAAATTCACCCACTTCGGGGAGACCTATTGGTTTGCGTCTTGGTCTTTCCAGGAGGGCGAATTTCAAGCCTTTACACCCCAACATGTCTGGAAAGTAAATAATTACGGAAGATTTTCAAGCTGATGCTGTTTTATATGTACATTTCTAATTCTATTTTTTTTTTCTTCTTTTTTTTTATTGTGAAAGTATGAGATTTAAAGTGTAAATATATTTGTGCCCTTTCTATATATTTGTAAGATATTGCTATTGTTATTGCTTTCTCTATAGGAAGTAAGGTATATATGCTAATTTATGTAAATATATCATATTTTAAATTTTTGAGTTTATAACTATCCTGCCAATTATTAGAAAGGAGTGTAATTTTGGATAATAAAGAGGAGTATATATGTAATTAAAAAATACCATATAACAAATACGGACACTTTTTGATTTTTCAGTTAAAATTATTGACAGTTTTATTTCAGGGAAAGTAGCTTTCATTGTTATGAAAAGCAATCAATTGGAAAAAATATGAACTGCATCATTGAGAGGAATTCAGTAACATTTTACAATATTTTAGAGACATTTAGTTTATATTTCTTCGAGCTTTTGGTGGTGGAGGTAAATCTCCAGATTTGGCTGTGATAGTTAATCTTGGCACCTTCTAGTTTACTAAATTTTTATTGTGAATAACCTAAGAGTTCAGTCCATATTCAAGTTCCCAAATTATGGTCTCATAGAAATACTTTGTTAATGGCAGACAAAAAAATATATATAATGATAAAATAAAAGCATTGAAGCATGTTACTGTGAAAAGAACTTCCCATAAATTTTGTTAAAGCATCAACAGTAATATAAGCATAATGTAGTAATCTAACTTTTTTTTGGAAAATGCATTAGGGTAACTTAGAATTGTAATATAACTGTTACTGTTTAGTGCCTTTTGGTTGTTAAATGATGACTTGTAAACACTTAACAAGACTACCTTTGCATGTAATAGTTTAAGTCGTCTGAAGTAGCTATGGATGCATTTAAAAAATTTATCAGTGGAAATATTGATGTAACAGTAGCCTGCTGCAGTATCAAGGAACACAACTATGTCTTATATAGCTTCACTGTCTGAGCATTGTAGTAGAAAAAGCAGTAGTAATAGTAATAATCATCATCATGATAATAATTATGACAATAATGACACTAATGATAAAAAAAATAATGATAATGGATTAGTTAAAACCCTGATGAAAATGTACTTGGCGAATGAGGGATGCGTAATAATTATGACAATAATGACACTAATGATAAAAAAATAATGATAATGGATTAGTTAAAACCCTGATGAGAATGTACATGGCGAATGAGGGATGTGTGAATCCTCGCAATTTGGAGAAAATGCTTTGGGAAATTCCTTATATAGGCAGTATCATATCTAAGAAGAAAAAAAGGTAGGTTAAAATACTAACTTAATTGCAATCAAACCAGTAACTCCTCGAAATTAGACATGAAATCTGGCATAGTGATAACTGCGTACTAGAGTGCCACCTGGCTCAAAGTTTTTAAAGTGTGCGGGATGCATATAAAATTTAATATAGAAGTAGAACAGGTACGAATAAAAATAGCATTACAAAACAAACTGTGTAGTTTATGTAATTAAGATTTATATCGTCATTAGAATTACTCCAGGAACTGTGTTTGCAAACTTTACTTTGCTGTGACTGGATAAATTGAAATGGCTAGACACCAATCTCCATGGGTACCTGATATGCCCATGGTTTCATGTCACGAAATATGTAGTTTACAATATTGATCCTTTTCGTTTATATAATCCCCTCCATATATGCTCTTAGAATGCATACCTTCTAATGTCGAATTATCTAAGTTATACTTCAACTACAGTCTTCTGTTACTCTCCAGAAAACGTATTTTTCTAGGCTAACTTAGCTCTTCTTTTTGTGCAATAAAAATCCTTCGTAGAAACATGCCTAAATTGGATATTTGTTATTTTGAAGCGATTCAGTTCCAATTTCTCCATCTTGGGACTACAAGTACAGCTTATAATGACTTAATCACAAAGCTAATAGAAAAGCATATTTTTTATCATAATAGCATGAAGAACAGGTAGTGATCGAGAGAGTGTTCTACTGTAATTATGAAGTATTGTGGGGGAAAATTACCAGTTTCTGCATAAGGTGCCATTTTCACATGAATGTAGCCTACCAAACTGACTAAAAAAATGGTATCAAATACCTCTGCTCTTCGCATTCGTATATCCTAGCTGTTATAAGTAAATATCAAGTACCAAAAGACATATTAATATCAAATTATCAAGTACAATTTAGGACACAGGCCAATCTTAGAGAATAAAGGAAAATGGGAGAGGGTAGTGATTAGGAGAAAATGAGGTGAGGGAGTTTAAGGAGGAAGATGCAGGGCTTAAAGTTTAAGGGGAGGAGTAAATTTTAAGAAGATTTGGGAGCGAGAGGAAGCAGTAGAGTGAGAAAGAGAAAGAGAGGGGAGAAGAAATGGGGGGTGGGCAAAGAGTAAAAGGACGAGGGTGAAAGAGGGAGAGAGGAGGACCTCTTATTATCATTATTATTGTTTTTCGTGGAATTGAAACGAGTCCAGTTAGTTATCATAATCATTACTGTTATCATAGTTATTGTAACATTGATAAAAGTAATGATAATGATAGTGATACATTAATAATAATAACAATAATGATAATGATGATACTCGTAATGATATTGATGATAATAATAATAATGAAAAATGATAATAATTATAATAATAATAATGATAATAATAATAATAATAATAATAATAATAATAATAATAATAATAATAATAACAATGATAATAATACTAACAATAATGATAATGATAATAACAATGATTATGAAAAAAAGAGAATGATAAAACTGATGATGATGATTATTATTGTCATTATTATCATTACTAATACGATGTAAGAGATTTTTTTTAATCATTAAAAAAACTGCCTTTTTCCTATCAATATGCTATTCTATAAAGATGATGATTATGATAGTAATAAAATATGATGATACTAATGATTATTATGATGATCATAGTAATAGTAATAGAAATGATAATGATAATAATGATGATAATGATAACAATGACTATCATTGTTATCATTATCATTGTCATTATTATTATCATCATCGTCTTTTATTGTTGATATTACTATCATTACTATCATTAACATCATGATTTATATCATTATTATTAGCATTATTATCATTATCATTGCTATTATTATTGTTATTATTATTATCATTATTATTGTTATCATTATTGTTATTATTATTATTATTATTATTATTATTATTATTATTATTATTATTATTATTATTATTATTGTTATCATTATCCTTATTACTATTATTATTATTGTTGTTGTTATTATTATTATTATTATTATCATTATTATTATTATTAATATTATCATTATTAATATTAATAATAATAATAATAATAATAATAATAATATTATTATTATTATTATTATTACTATTATCATTATTATTATTATTATTATCATTTTATCACTATTATTATTATTACTATTATTATTATTATCATTATTATTATTATTGTTGCTGTTAATATTAATTTATTATTATCATTATCATTATTGATGATATCATTATCATTATTATTATTATTTTCATCATCATCATCACTATTGTTATCCTTATTAATTTTACTATTATTATTATCATTATTGTTATTATATTCTTATTCTTCTTATTCCTAGTCTTGTTCTTATCATTATCATTATTTTTATCATTGTCATTATTATCATTATTGTCATTATCATTATCAGTTATTGTTATTATTGTTATTATTATTATTTTCATTGTTATTGTTATCAATTACTATTATTACTGTTATCATTATTATTATAATTATCCTATCATTATCATTATTATTATTATTATTGTTATTTCGTTATTAACATCATATATCAGTAATCACTTCATCTTTCGTTTTTTTTTCTCTTTCTTTTTAAGGACGTTTTGCAATCTTTTAACATTTGCAAAATCATTTTCAAAAGTCACAAGAATTTATGTTCCCGTTTCGCGCGCACGAAAACTCGGTCGTGAGCGGAAAATGCTTAAAAGTAGCGCCAAGTCGGGTTTTATACTCGCGCGAATCTGAGCGCGAATTTTAGCGAAGATTTTCTGTTTTATATTATGAATGAGATTGTTTTTAAAGTATCGTTTCTGTTCTTCCTCTGTTTCTGGTTCTGTCTTTCTGTTTGTTTGCCTGTCTCTATTATGTCTCTCTCCTACTCTAGCCTCGCCCCCCCCTCTCTTTCTCTCTCTCTCTCTCTCTCTCTCTCTCTCTCTCTCTCTCTCTCTCTGTCTCGTCTCTCTCTCTCTTCATTACCCTGCCTCTCTCTCTTCTCTCTTCACTCTCTGTTTTCTCTCTTCACTCTCTCTTCTCTCTCACTCTCTNAACACAACACACACACAACACATATATGATTTATGGTATTAAGTATATGTAATATATAGCAATTTATATATATTATATATATATATATGGTATATGTATATATATTATTATATATATATATATATATATATATATATATATATATATATATAATATATATATATATATATATATATATGTATGTATGATGTACAACACACACACACCACACACACACACACACACACACACACACACACACACACACACACACACACACACACACACACACACACATGTATGTGTGTGTGTATGTATGTATGTATTATAGCATTTGGTTGAATTTCTGATGGTAGGACGTGGATGGAACGTAAACATAACTCTACGGATATAGTTTCATGTTTTGATATCTGCACGGTAATGTTCATTAACAAAAAAATTATTGTCTGCTTCTAAAGTTCTGAAAGTCAATCCTACCTTTGATCATATGCAAGGAAAAGGCGAAATGGAATCTTAGACACTAAATCAAATTCAGAAATCTACTCCCACCCTGACTATACTTATCCCGCATATTTGCATTTGTATAACCAAAATTTCAATATATTTTTGGTTTAAGTTCCTCGCTCTTAAGGTACATGATCATGATAAGAATTTACAGCGCAGGGATACGTGTTTGTGTGTTCGTGTGTTTGTGATACATTGCACACAAGATTGATTATGTACATAATGTATTGCTGAACCTAAGGCAACCTTCTAGGGTATGTCCGTATAGAATTATCAATCCTATATTGCCTCATGTAATCCAAAAGGATTTAGAGATTACGAGGGTAATCAAACGTGAAGATCACCTTTAACATGATATACTG